TATCTGGGCTATGTGGGCTAAATCATATGGGTCCCACATGGAACTTGGGTGCAGAATCCGGAGGTTTCCTCAAGGATTGCACATATGGTACCCATATAGATCTGCATATGGGCACCATATGGGTCCCTTATGGGCTTGTTACCTGGGTAGCTAAATTAACCAGCTGCGTGTATTCCTTTGTGAAAATGAGTACCGCGGCGTACTCATTTTCACAAAGCATTTGCATCCCCTCTTGGAAAGAGGGAACTTCGAAATAATTGTCTCCATATCTTCGCTAATTAATCACCGTAATTTAGCTTATACTTATGCATGGAGGGAGCACTTAAAAATATGTACAATAATCATTTCACTACCCGACAAACCCCGAACTTTATTCATGCATTACATACATAGTTTCATCTTGCTGTACTCCAACATCACTGGCGCATGGTAACAACCAACTGGCAGACCATTTCTGGTCACACATTACTCTCCATAACGCAGTACCCCCTAGTTCCGTGTCCTCTGGGTTGGGTTAACAGTGGCATTACAATTAAACGTTCAGGTTTATTGTAAAATCGAGGATTAATTATTTTTCCAGGTGGAGGATCTAGTGGATTAGGCTTCGCGATATCCTTAACAAACTCAGAACATTCAAAGAAATTTACAGCATTAATAAAGATATTGTGCATGACGTTAGCCTGCATTAGAGTATAATCCCCACAAAACTCTAAGGTAATAAAGAAGCAAGATAACAACTGTTACTGAAATCATTCCAAAATTAAACTGTGGACAGTAGCAACCAGCAAAGAGCATTTTGCAATTACCAACAGAAGTAGAAAAAAATATTCACGAGGAATGGCATCACGTACAATGAATGGACCTAAGTTCAGTACTAATGCAATAGATTAAAAAAAATAATAATATTTCAATCGAATTTTAGATATTGGCCTACACTTAACATAAAACCGTATTTAACCATATTTTACTAATTATTACAATGGGTGTACAAGGAGACGTTATTCATCTCACTACGGGAAAATGTCATAGGCCTTTCTGTATAAATATTATATTTATACGTATTATGTAAATATCATATTGTATTCAAATTTTGAATAAATCGTTATACACAAGAAAGAACAATAATACTGTATCGTGTTTAAAATATATTTTTACATAATTGTACAAAAAGCAGCAGGCCAACCAGCAGGTGACAAAGAAAACTATATCTGCGTAATTTAAATGATTAATTATTAGTCCACCATATAGAGAACCACACCGTGAATCACATCGAATGATGTTAACAACACTAGTTTTGTATGAGAAATACCCAACGAAAAGAGAATGTTAGTCAAGAAATACTGGACAGCTGTAAACGACTCGATAAAACTAAATCTGATTAAATTTCTGTTGATAAAACTTATTGAATTATATAAATGAAATATATGTGGTAGTAATAATATGCAATCTACAGAGTTGTTGGTAGATTGCATATGTGGTAGTAATAATATGCAATCTACCAACAACTCTGTATCCGCTAGGTAACGAGAATTATCTATTAATGTATATAATGTTTATCATTCTAATAGAAATTTAATCTTTAAACATATTTGAAATATTACCAAAATCTCTGCAGCTGGCCCAGACGGCGCGCGTTTCGGCCAACCACATTTCGTACAGTTTAAACACAAATCTTTCTGATATTCTAGCGAAAAACACCTTCACTAATTATGGTGTTGTTCCAGAAAATTTGTATGATGGTGGTATTGTACCAATTCTATAAAAAAGAAAAAATATTTCGATCCATCCAAGCCAAAAATTATCGTCCAAATATGGTCACAAAATATAATTTCCAAACTGTTTAAACTTGGATTCTTATAATCATGTACTAATGTGCAGAGGTATTTGCATTTGTGAAGTGAAGCAAGAAAATCGGTTAAAAAAACAAGAAATGTCGTAGAGGTACATGACAATGTGAGTAATCGGCCTCATTGATTTTTAATTTATTCTAAAAAGACTTGGGAAATGGGCTAATACTCTCGAATGTGGTTTTGCTATTACAAACTCAACTCCTAATACCTTCTGTTATTCCGATGATCTACTTCCAAGCCTAACTACTACCGTACTCGCGCGAATAAGCGCCCCGTTTGAATAAGCGCCCCTAATTTGAATAAACTTCCCCTCAATAACCCAATCAATCCTGGGACTGTGGATGTTGGCATGATTTGAGGTGTGGAGTGGAATCACATTCTCCTTTAGTCAATATCAAAGTGAGGATATTTATCTTTGACAGAATGATGAGAGCTCCCTGGACAGACGTATTTCCAACTTTCTTCTTCTTTCATTTGTCTATAGCCTAGTCCTACTACTCCTTTTCCGAAAATTTGCACCTTTAACACATTCTCATCTAAGTTTTCAAGAAAACCGGCAATGATCATGCCGTCCTGCTATTCTCAATCGACCGATGGCGAACAGCTAACCACCACCACTAATTTCATCTGCTATTCTGCTGTTATGTAATACTGTACTCACAACATTCTTGTCATGACAAGCCATGCTCTCTGGACGATTATCTTTTCCGCCGCAGCACCATTCGTAATTTGCGGTTTCCTGATGTCTTATTTAATCGTTTTTCATTCAAAATGTGCCTCTTGGATTTAATAAGTTCTCATAAGAACCCCTCGATTTGCATCTATTTCCATAAGCGCCCCCTCAATTTTCACTCTGTTTTTATAAACGCCCCGTTTGAATAAGCGCCCCTCAAAAAGTGCAAAAATATGTTAAGCGCCCGGGCGCTTATTCGCGCGAGTACGGTACTTGGCTTAAAAAGTTAATCGACTTTGGTATTATATCTTCTCATGGATTATGATTCAGTCCTGCAAAACCACTTTTACGTATTTGAAAAAAAAAAAACTTTCCCGATTCCTTTGACTTCTTAACGAGTGTAAACTTAGTGTCACTGGATAATTGTCATACCCTGGTGTTATTCTCTCGGATGATCTAAAGTCATCACAGCATGGTCAAGAAAAGGAGATAGAAAGTGCCAAAATGCATTGTTTTCTCTTCAGAGTATTGGCAAGTGTAAAAATGGTACTTCAACAGACGTTAAATTTGACGTCTGGGAGTCTGTTATGGTCCCTAAATTAGTCTAGGCCTATGGGTGTTAGTGTGTAAATATAAATGAACATATTCCAAAGATTGCATGGAATCTATTCGAAGAAAATTATAAAACCATCATTATATTTACATGAATATTGTAAAAC